TGGGGGCAATCTTGTGAGACTGAGCCCTCCACCTGTGGGATCCTATGCTATTTCCAGGTAGACAGTGTTAGAATTGAGTTAAATTATAGGACACCAAGCTGGTGTCTACTGGAGAGTTGCTTTTTGTTGGAGAGAAATCCTGACATATCTGGGGTCAAAGTAAAGTGCTGTAAGTGGTGGTGTGAGAGAAGTAAAAACATTTTGGTTTTTCATTAGCAGCTATAAAGTAGGAGTTTGACCAAAGGACCAGTCATCCTGTTTGAAGATCAGGTCTTGACGTGGCGCCTGTGGCTCAAGTGGCTAAGATGCCAGCCACATACACTTAAGGTGGAGTGTTTGAATCCAGCCCGGCCCACCAAACAACAATGACGGCTGCAACCAAAAAATAGCCAGGTGTTGTGGCGGGCGCCTGTGGTGCCAGCTACTTGGGAGGCTGAGGCAAGAGACTCGTTTGAGCCCAGGAGTTGGAGGTTGCTAAGCTGTGATACCATGGAACTCTACCCAGGGGGACAGCTTGAGGCTCTGTCTCAAAAAAAAAAAAAAAAAAAGATCAAGTCTGAACCCTGAGCCCCCTCTGCTGCAATCACATGGATGGATAGAGACAGCCAGGTGGCCCTGAAGTGTTGTAGGGGCTGCCCTTCCTGTTCCTATTTCCCAGGTGATTTCTGCCTTCACAGCTTCATGCCAGCAGGGCCCCTCACCTGGACCTTGGTTTTCTCTGGTCCATTTCTTCAGGAATGCCAATTCAATCCAACCAGCACACAAGAGGCTGCTGGCATTTGATCCAGTGCTCACTGAGTAGATGTCTAAGTAACAACTAGGACTCTTTAGAGCATCTGGTTAAATTTCCTAAAAAATGACAAACTTTGTTTTGAATAATTCCATTTAAGTTGCACTGTGAGGCTTGGCGCCTGTGCCTCAAGTGGCTAAGGTGCCAGCCACATACACCTGAGCTGGTGGGTTCGAATCCAGCCCGGGCCCACCAAACAACGACGGCTGCAACCAAAAAATAGCTGGGCGTTGTGGTGGGCACCTGTGGTCCCAGCTACTTGGGAGGCAGAGGCATGAGAATTGTTTGAGCCCAGGAGTTGGAGATTGCTGTGAGCTGTGATGCCACAGCACTCTACCCTGGGCGACAGCTTGAGGCTCTGTCTCAAAAAAAAAAAAGTTGCACTGTGAGCACCTCCTACAAATAGCTCTGAGATCTATATATGAACATCCTGGTAATTTTTTTTTTTTTTTTTTTTGAGATAGAGTCTCAAGCTGTCGCGCTGGGTAGAGTGCCATGGCATCATAGCTCATAGCAACCTCGGGCTCAAATGATCCTCTTGCCTCAGTTTTTCTATTTTTAGTAGAGATGTGGTCTCACTTTTGCTCAGGCTAGTCTTGAACTCATGAGCTAAGGCAATCCTCCTGCCTTGGCCTCCCAGAGTGCTAGGATTACAGGCATGAGCCATCTCAACCAGCCTAATCCTGGTAATTTTTATTTTTGAGACAGAGTCTCAAGCTGTCATCCTGGGTAGAGTGCCATGCTGTCATAGCTCACAGCAAACTCAAACTCTTGGGCTCAATCAATTTTCTTGCCTCACCCTCCCAAGTAGCTGGGACTACAGATACCTGCCACAACACCCAGCTGGGTATTTTTTGTTTGTTTAGCAGGCCCAAGCTGGATTTGAACCCACCAGCCCCAGTGCATGTGGCCAGCACTCTAACCACTGAGCTACAGGCACCCAGCCAAACCTGGTTATTGTTTAAAAAATGTCCTCTACAATTGTTAAAGAAAAGCAGAAAGTGGTCAGTGGTTTGGGATACAAATTCTACTTTGAGGCTCGGCGCCTGTGGCTCAAGTGGTTAAGGTGCCAGCCACATACACCCAAGGTGGCGGGTTCAAATCCAGCCCGGGCCCGCCAAACAACAATGATGGCTGCAACCAAAAAATAGCCAGGCGTGTGGCAGGCGCCTGTAGTCCCAGCTACCTGGGAGGCAGAGGCAGGAGACTCGCTTAAGCCCAGGAGTTGGAGGTTGCTATGAGCTGTGATGTCACAGCACTCTACCCAGGGGGAAAGCTTGAGGCTCTGTCTCAAAAAATAAATAAATAAATAAAATTCTACTTTGAAATGGCACCAGCTACTGTTGTAGTGAGTACTTTTAAGGCATTGGCCATTGCTTTAGATACACCATCAATTTTAAGCATCAAAAAAGTTTTTGTGTGTTATTCCCATTTCACAGATAAGAAAATGAGGTTTAGACTGGGATATGTCTGATTCCAGGGAGGATTATGTGCTATGTAGAGTATAGCCCAGGAGATGACCCTACCCTATCCAACCACACCCCACAACCATGAAACCCTTGAACAGGCAAAGAGAAACAACTTGTGGTTACAAAGATAGGGTCATTTATTCACGTTATATTACTGGATTTTAAAGGCAAAAATACAGTTTTGTCTGTTTTGAACACCGAGGTCAGATCCCCCCTCCACATACACACACACATACACACAATGGTAAATACACACATTTGCATACACGAAAAATCAAAATACATAGCACAACAGTTGTCTAGGACATGAAAGCTTTTATCCTGGTTGCGTGGAGCCTCCCAAGCCCAGAGCAGTAGTCAGAGAGACCCTGCCCAGCCTGAGAGCCAGTGTGGCATTATCTTTTCCCTCCGGTACCACCTCTGTCCTCTGATCTTTCCCAAAGGCCACTTCACACAGGTCACCAGCAATGGGATGGACAGAAACAGAGAAAGGCACAGCAGCACATGACAACTTCATGGTCATAACTCCCAAGTGAAAGAACGGCTCCCTGAACCCTGGGCCCTAGAACCCCAGTGAGGAGAGAGCACCCACAGCATCTCATGAACCAGGCAAATATCCAGGCCTAACTGTGTCGTGGTTGTGCCTGGAGTCCAGATAGGCCCCATGAAAGCACTAAAAGATCAGTAAAAGGAGGAATGGGTGAAACAGTATTTCCCTTGGTTCTGAGGATGAGCCAAATACTTGACATGAACAAAAATGTAATGAAAAAAGAAAGAAAAAAGAAAAGGTAGAATTTCATTTTCAGAGTAAAGTTAAGTAACAAAGAAGTTACCACTCAGGGCATTTGTCTCCTTTCTCTTAAGGCACTTTAGAAAAGTCAGAATCTGGGAACAGAGAGGCCTTTATTCTTTGCACTTCCACAGACTCTCTCCCAGGGCAGTCATTCCTTCCTAGTTTTTTTTTTTTTTTTTT